GAACTAATGTTGAGAGCTCAGCAGACAGTTAGGTTTCACTTTCACCCGAGAACCTGTAGGAGTCATGGGTGGGGTGTGTGTGGGGGGACGCTCTGCCATGTGTAAGTTCGGTTTAAAGACACGTTGCAGAGGCGTTTCTAGTCCCCACCTGTTGTTTTGCTCTTCAGCATGGCTGCCTAAAAACACTGCAGGATTTCTCAAACATGCATGAATGAGTCAAAGCAAGGCTTTGGGCATGATTTTTTATGAGAGTATAACATTATAACATGATATAAAACTCAAAAAAGTTGATTTTACATGATATTGCCCTTTTAAAAAAAGCTATTTACAGGACTCATTCAACAGGACATAACACTCATTCAAATTGAGCACAGGAGCACCTCAAGGATGYGTACTCAGTCCTATGTTCTCTGTGCTGACACATCATTTCAGTTGTTTTGTCAAGTTTGCTGCTGATACAACATTGGTAGGACTCATCAGTATTTTACAGTATGCTAAAATACAGTAAAATACTGTTTTAAATATGAAGTAAATGTAGCTGCCAAAGCTGACATTGCTTTGGTGGCTCACTTGACTGACACATCTGCACTCATCAGATATGAGCAGGTGGTAAATAACCTGGTCCAAACCGTTGCAGAGGACTCCTTAGCCCTAAATGTCACCATGGGGTTTATTATAGCACTTAGTGTCATTGATGTTTGCCTTTTTTTTTTTTGCTTATTTTTGAATGTATGTTTTTAACATGGAGCCCTATCAAAGACGATTTTCTGTCACCTTTGGGACAGACAATTATGTATGTATGTATGTATGTATGTATGAATGAATGAATGAATGAATAAAACAACACCCTTAAGTTCATATTTTAACAAACTACTATCTTTTAGAGGCAGATGCCAGATATTCCAATGAGATTTATCCATTTCAATATTTCTAAGAAAGAATCATATTCTCTGGATTCAGTAGGAAAACATGGTTTTGGTAAGTTTTTAATTTTTACTCTGTTATTCTCTCAAATCTACTTGAATACCAGATTATTTTGATTAAGTAGACATTTGTCATTTAAAATAATCTTTTTGCAGCCTTGGAGATTGGTCCCCAACCACATGGTGTGGTGAGATCAAAYGTCTACACTGCAATGAAAGTAGGTGTGCGGCACATACTGGACTGGATCCACTACTTTAACTCAGGTACATTTAACGCCAGCTCAGCGTCTGAGCCGTTTTGCCTTGCAACTCCTTAAATCTCTTGAAAGATTGATGTGTTTTTCAAGCAGCTGTTTGTTCCGATCAGGTTCTGTGTTTGAAGGAGGATATGTCGACGTGTTTACCATGGTTAAAAACATCGACTACCCAAGAGACAGCCAGACTCACAACATCACAGCAGCCATTCATCCTCGCCTCCAGGTATGTCTCCAGAGTTTCCTTTCACCATGGCAAATTAAACGGTTCAACTGGGTGTGAATGAACAACTTAATCACCTACCAAGACRAACATAAACTAATGAGTAATGGCAGACTGAAATAGTTGCAAACGCCCTTTCATAATAGCGAATGTAACCAATTAATATTTCTTGTGTTCTGCTCACGTTCTGCTTATTATCATTCAATTTGTGAATCACTCTGTSTATTGTAGCAATAAAGTGTTGTTTACCTCGCAGGGTAGGGCCTTTATGTTCAAAATACTTTACTCCAGAGAGCAAAAAATTAAACTGAATCATACCCTTTCATAATTTTCATACCTGTAATTACCATTTACATAAGCTGGAAGTAGGGAGAAGAATGAATTTAGGAATTCTCACTGACCTAAACCTTCACAGAGGAAAAATCACAACAAGTTTCTTCTCTTCTATTTCAACTTTATTTATTTATTTTTTGTAATTTGTCATGTTTGGTTTCTTTCTTCTTGCCCTAGGTTTGACATGAAGGATCATAAAAATGTTCCTGAAGAGATAGAACATCCCATTTGTTGCTTTCATTCTTCTTCTTTTTTCCAGGATCGAGACTTTTGCCTCCTCTGCCCCGAGGACCCCTTGTTCCAGACGTTCTCGGGGGAAGAACTGACATATAAAGGCAACGAACCCCTTTATCCTTTCTTCATCAATGAATGTGCTTACTACGAGAAGGGCATCGCGCTCTCGCTGGCCAGGAAGAAGCGAGTGATGATTCCTCCAATCCGGGCGCAGACGGAGGTGGAGAAGCAGGCGAGCGAGCAGAGCTTTGCATCGGAAGAAGAGGAGTGAAGATGTTCTGAACATGAGACAAATGCAAAATCGGCACATATTTTATTTAAACAAAAGCTTTTATTGAAATGAACGCATGTTTGCATACACTATCAAATGTACACAGCTCAGAATAAAGAGCAACACTTTTTAACTCACTAAATCACATTGTAATCCATTCAGGGATAAAAGAGCTTCTTGTGTTTGATATCTGAATGTAAACCACGGCCACAATCATGTGCAATATTCTTCAATATCAACTGTTTTTATAAGGGTGCTAATTGATGAACACCCAGCATGTTTTACAATAATAACTCATGTTCAATCACTGACATTTACATCGTCAAAAAAAATAATTTCACCTCTTTCAAGTGGCAACAATATTCAAGATATGATCAAAAATACTTTAAGTGCAAAGCAAAACTGGAGGTTGTTTTATCATATGGCCTTTTATAAAGTACATTCATAATGCCAATAAGGGAATGGAAAACCCATTTTTCCCCAATTAAATCCTGATGAACTGCCTTTTTTGTTTGAAAATAAGAAACACGATTAAACATAAATTAAAAAAATAAATAAATTAAAAACATAAAACACTGAGTAGGAAATCAATTCACATTTTTGGGATTGAGGTCAAAATCATACTGACAAAAGTATGCATAAATAAAAAAAAACTAAGCTTTTTTTTTCAACAAAATTACTGTAGTAAAACATCACAAAGAATACAAATCTAAAACAAAACTATAAACTGGGTAAACAACTACCACTCTGACCATAACTGCAAATAAATACCAGTAAAATAAATAAAAGTCAAATTCGTTTGCAATAACAGTTAATTTTCTTTGATTTCTCCCTGATGCCACATCCTGTTTAAAGCAGCTGCAGTGAATCGGTTCAAACAGAGCACCGCTGGTAAACTGATCCAATTTAGCTGCAAACACTCTCTGGGTGTGACGGTACATCTGAACAATCCCTCATAAATGCTCTGGTACATGTGACTAAAGGCAAAGAAAAGTCATTATTCAGCACAGGAATCCTCACGTACGAACTGACGGATGTTGAGCAGTAACACAGCAGAATGTGTGGGCTGAAATGTTACGTTAAGAAACACTGTGTACTGTCTGACTGCATGGGTCGCTACGCATTTGCTGCACTTGCTTACTGCTGGGAAAACCAACTACAGGAAACATAAACAAGGCATAAGTGATTTTGCAATGAGCAAAAAGTAGCTTGAAATACGGCAAAAAAAAAAAAAAAACAGCAGGCCGAAGCTGAAATGTAGCCAGTTTTCATCATTTGAATTTGTATATGCCTCACACGGAGGCAACTAATTACTAATTGAACAAACAGCATTGGTCAAAATTAAGTTGCAGCAGAATTTCAGCTCATCTTCAAGAATGAATTCAACTATTTATATTTTGTAGAGTAAGGGTGTTTAGTAAAAAGGTGGTCTTCACTGATTGCACTAGAGATTTCTGTGAAAATGCTGTGTGAATACTGAAACAGTTGTGCAGAAAAAAATATTTTGTTCTAAAAGAGCCAAAAAAAAAAAAACAGCTGAATTTAGCACAAAGAAGCAGAAAGAGAATGTTTGCTGAATTAAGCAGCTTAAATTAGCTAAGTATCTAAAATCACAAAAGGTGACTTTAGCTGAAAAAAGCTGAAAAGTAGCTTAAATTGTAGAAAACTGAAGGAAGCATAAAAAGCTTAAATTAGCAGAAAGAAGCTAATAGAAGCACAAAAAATTAATTAGAATAAATAGAAAGCATAGAAAAAAGCTAATATTAGCAAAAAAAAGCTGAAGCTAGAACTAGCACATAAAGACGCTAAACAAAAGGTGTAAAGTGCAGGAAAGGTGTCACTATTTTGAAGGATTTTCTGGATGTTGCTATTCAGTTTCAAAAGWACATTAATTTCCCAAAAAGCTAAATATCTCAAARCATGTAATTTGCTGAAATACCAAAAATAGCTGGAATGTCCTGAAGGAGCTGAACCTTTAAAATGACTTTTTGAAATAACATAAAAATTGTGAAACAAGATATGTGTTGAAAAACGTACGGAAGAATGGATCATTTTAATAACATGAAAGCTTCAGTGTTCAGTTAGAAACTGATGCCAGCAGTAACCTCTAACTTTCTGCCACTCTTTCATGGCTTTTAAGGTTTTTGCAGAAGCAGGTTAGATTTTCTCAACTCAGGTCAGTCTACTATTCATTCTTAACCATGATTTAGTGCTGATTGCTTCTGCTTGTTGTCCTGCTGAAACACCAAAAAAGCTCACCTCATCCTATTTTGTGATTTCTTTAATAGATGAAGGGCTTACTGTGCCAGAATCGACTGCACAGCTCAGCCCGGAAGTGTTTTGTAAATTATTATTTTTTTTTAATTTCTGTATGAAACTTTTGTGTTTTTGCTTTAGATTAGAATTTTATTTGAAAATATGATAAAACTGTTGTTGGCTTATTCTTCCTTCCATTGTTTTTGAGCTAGACTAAATGCTGGACTATCCGTTTTTCTCTTGTCAACTCTTTTAATTCRGACTTTTAAAATTAAATAACATTTAAATATATTACTGCAGTACACTTCAGGGTCATTTACTGTTAATTATAAAGGGTTTAGTTGACAAAATATGTAGGAAAGAAACACTACAATAACACATTTTGATGCGGGTTTAAAATTTAAACGGGACTATGGGATCCAGAGYCGAACCTCTGGCTACGCCACGCGGTAGGCCGTCATGCGGTAGTAGTTCTGGCTGTGGCTGCGCGCCGCCCACACCAGGAGCGCCGCGGCCATCATGTGCAGAGGCGAGGAGATGAGGGCCAGGTAGAGGGACCAGCCCAGAGAGCCATCCACCTTGTCGGGAAGCATCGACGCTCTGTGGAGCAGGTCCATCCCGGCCAGGTAGCAGCACACGGTGGCTAAGGTGCACAGACCTGCGAAACACATCAGGACAAGGAGCTTTAAGCCTGATAAATGAAGCGGGGGTTCTGTGGAACGCTTATGAACAAATAATACCCTGTGTTACTTTGTTGGGTGTTGTTTACCTTTTGTTTCTGCCTGTTTTAGAACATCGTTTTAATCTGGAGAGCAGTTTAGACTTTTCTCACGTGTGTCTGTTCAAACCTGCCTTGATTTCTAGGAGTGTAGGTTTTAAGCAGCCTCCTTGTTTAGCTGGAGGCCAAGTCAGTCATTGTTATTTCATATTTTATGTTATTCTTTCTCTGTGCTTTAAAAAGGAAGTGTTGATGTGATTCAGGATCATTGTCATGCTGAAAAACAATATCTTATCAGGTACTTTGTAGAATATACCTAATGGCAAAGCAATGGTTGACTGATTTTTTTTTTGGTTACCAATTTAAATTTGATAAAACCCCCAATAAAAGGCAGATTAAAACACAGTCCCAAACCATTACAGAGCCACTACTAGTGATGGGATGATGATACCTCAATGGGTGTATTGACACACTACACAAAATGTGTCGGCTCTGTATTGACACTGTGTTGGTCACTCAGTAGTGACCCCCTGCAGCAGTTTAAAAAAAAACATTGCAGGTAAACAAAATGAAGATGAAAAAGCTTATATGCTGCAAACCCAACCTCAGCCTGTGAAATATTGAATCACCAGTTCTATACTTAAAATATGATCTCATCATTGTATCATTTCATTTGCTCAATTTGTTTAAAGTTGTTCATGAGAAGAGTTTAAAACTTCCTTAAAGCCTTGTTTGTGTAAACTGTCTAAACGGAGTTGTAAAATACAGCAAATTTGTCTGCAATAAAATTCAGTTAAAATTATTAACTTATGTATGGAATTTTTTTAAGTGTTAAACCATATAAAATAAATACTAATAATATATATTATATACTAAAAATTGATTAGTTTATGCATTTTTMTTGAGGAACAAAAGGTTTTGAAGTGTCTTTGCTCCAAGGCGAWTTCTCTTAGAAACCAGTTCTCCTGCCTTAGAAAAAAACTCTTTCACAGGTTACAGTAGAAGATGGCGAGCATAAAAATTTAAGTGTGAGCTGATAAAGGTGTTGAATCTGTGAATATTTTTTCAAAATTGTAACAGGTCTTGTGTTCAGGGTGTGTTGCTTTCAGCCAGGTAACATTGGACTTCAATTATGGAATGGTTGTTGTATCTTGTTGTCTTGTTCTCTTCAACCTTCATACCAAGAGGTTTCCAGAGATTGTTACAAATATTTTAGAAATAAATCTTTGTTAATCTTTAGTTTATTTGTTGTTGCTGTTTTTATTATTATTATTTGGCATCACAAGATCAAAATTATTCCAGACTGGGGAAAACTTCGTGGAATGATCCATGAAGTCTGTGGAACAAGTTGAGAGCAAAAATCCAACAAATCCGCAACATATCAATACAGTTTGTTTCCTTATGAACAGTTTGCCGCAGCACAYCTGTATCAGTCATATAACTTTTTTTCTTAAAGCGATACATGCACCAATACGGGGTTTCACTCTTGTGTGCTCGGCACAGTGTTGTTCGTCCCATCCCTAGCCACTRCGGTGTTTTACAGCTGGCTGAACTGTGCTGAAACAGTAGCCCACGTTAAAAGATTACAATAAAGCTGAGTTCTTAGAAAGGAAAAATAAAAAGCAATAAAAACATGCGTCTAAATTTATCACTGGAAAACAAARGCAACAATTGGGGGGAGACGCTTAAAGACTTTTTGTTGACATCTTAACTGATGTCTTCGGTGACTCACAGGGTGTTCACGATGAAGGGATGTGGTGGAACAGGTCTTACCAGCTAAAAGGTGAAGAACTCCAATACAAAGAGTCGGGGTGAGGCTTCGACAGAGACAGGCGAAAAACCCGGTCAGGCCGGCTAACACGACCAGACCCAGAGACACCAGCGGCAGCAGGAACTGGCACCTCCACAGATCTKCACACACACAGAAAATCATTAGAGCGTTTGGGAAAAGGACAACAAACGGAACCAAAAAGGAGACACTGGATGAACGTACAGGTGCGCAGCATGTCCTCGCCGCTGTTGTGGTTCCCCGGTTCTTTGTATTTCGGGGTGAACTGCTCGGGCAGAGTGAAGTTTCGACACTCCAGCTCCAGCTTGGCACCTGAAAGAACAACCACTTCAACGTCTGAACCCCGCCACTCAAACACAAAGTAAAGCAAACTTAATGCGCTTTGGAGAAACGTTTGCTTGGATTTCGAGCAGACATCAACAAGTGTAAAAGTTGGGCATGGTGTCAAAAACCACAGATAACGCCACCATGACTGTTGATTTATACGGCCAAACACATCCCTGCTTGCTTTCTGAGTGTATGCCAAGTTCTCAGTGTCTCTTCATGTTGCGTGATATTTTAGGAGAAAAAAATTAACAAATAAACACAGACCTGATCCCAGAGAAATTCAAACACCGGCAAAGACTGTCCAGAGTAGGGGCGTAAGAAAATATCGATACACTGAAATATCGTGATATTTCATTTCCCGATACTGTATTGATATTCTAAAGCCCTGTATCGATTTTTTTATTAAGGCTTAAAATGTCAACTTTCCTGCCAGCCGTTCATTTTTATGTTGTAGTTCAGCCTCTGACCACTAGTTGGYAGCAGTGAGCCAGCCATTTGRCTCCTCTACCTCTTGAGGTAGAGGCTATTGTTAAGTGTTGGGTGACCATATTGTAAATTAATATTAAAGACTAAAAGCTGCAAAATATATATTTTCAAATTATTTATTGGCAAATTTAGTCTAATAATTGAAAACATGGATGAAATAAGAAATATGAAACAAACAAAATAAAATACATACAAAGCAGAACACAGCTAAATGTATCAAAAGTATGTCTATGTAATATTAGAATTTTCTGAGACGATGAATTTTGGTTTTTCCTTTTTTTCCCCCTGTAAGATGTTTTTATTTAAAAGAATTTTTGGACAAAAAATTGCAATATATCGCAAAATATCGCCTTGCTTACAGTATCGCAATATATCGGGATATATCGTATCGTGACCCCTCTGTCATGATATGTATCATATCGCCAAATTCTTACCAATACACAGCCCTAGTCCAGAGTAGTCGAACAACGTAACCAGTTAAACTATGACTTATTAAACACAGTAGGGCGGTGTCATGCCACTAGGGGTGCAGAGACTACAGYTTTCTGGACGATCACAGATCTTTAAAAAGCCTGACCTGCCGATTCCAATTTTGTCCGATAACGAACAGGTGTTATAAGGTCACAATACACCATCAATATTCCAATCAAACAATACCCAATCCTGGTCCTTGAGGGTCACTATCCTGAATGCTTTACTTGTGTCTCTGCTCCAACACACCTTATTTGAATGAATGAGTGATTATGCAGCTTCTGAACTTGGAAGAATTAATTCAGTCACTAAATCAGGAGTGTTGGAGCAGAGAAACCAGTAAAACTTGCAGAACAGTGTCCCTAAAGGTCCAGATTTGCACACCCCTGCTTCTGCATCAAATGTATCAAGGACCGCGGGCCAAATATGGCCAGCCATGGCATTTTATGTGGCCAGCAAGAGTTTCAATGACGTATTCATGTCTTTAAAAAAGCAGCTGCTTTAAAGCCAACATTGACTATAAACACGCCTTGCACTGAGCGAGTGGTTTTTTTTTTTTTTTGAGCATATGCTTGTGTTTCTTTTTTAAAACTCATCTTTCCTATTGTATGTATTCCAAGCTGCAAAAGGTAGCGCGACCATGTTGTGAAAGACCTGGGCATCAGTTCTCCCCAATGTTTGTTATGTCTGTGTAAAAAGAATGGGTGTTCTTAACTGCAAGTTTCTAGTCTGTGTATTCACTGACAATGGTAACAAAACTGATTCTGAAACTACTTCTCCCAAATTGAATATCAATTATTTTACCCACAAAATGACACCATCCCTCCAGCAGGTGGAGGTGCACAGGGTTCAAAAATAGCCAGACAATGCCCATTTTGCCACATTTTCGTTGGCTACTTTGCTGCGGCCCAGTTGTATTGGGAAGTGGGAACTTCCCACTTACAATTCATGAATTTAAACTGAATTACCCCTCCAGTGGGATTTCCCTGTTTGAAGATGGGAGAGTTCATAATTCAAGATGGAAGCTACTCACTAGGGTTGGGAAATATTGGCAAAAAAATTAATCACGATTAATTGTGGTATTTAGCCGATAACGATTAATTTGACGATTAATCCCCTGGAATCCCTGGACACCCTTATGTCCTAGTCACACGACCAATTTAGTTGGAAAGATTAGCTCTTCATAAAAATCTGTTCCAAATTGTCTCAAAATTACAGATTTCAGGCTATACATCACAKTTTAAATTGTGTTGATAGATAAATAATTTACAGAACTTTTTTTTAAATGTTCGTCTTATTTGAAGCAGAGAGGAGCACCGAGCGAACTCTTCCTGCTGGCAATGATCGTATTAATCGTCAAGTGCCAAAAAGTAATCGATTAATGTTTTTCTGACGATTAATTGCAAACGATACGATTATGCCCAACCCTACTACTCACCACAGCTCTACAGTGAGTAAAACTCTTACTTCTAATAGTATTTCTGCATTTACTTCACATTTAGTCAGTCGTACACACAGTACTGTAAAGAGGATGTGTTAAAATGCTGTTTCTATGCAGGAAATACCACGCAGAGCTCAGTTATTGTTTTTTTAGTGGCGCTCAGCTGTAGTAATGAGACGAGGGATGTGATGTTTCGGTTTTAGTCGAAGTTAAACATGAAATGTTACAAAATGAGATCGACACTCCTGGTCTAGACGGATGAAACAGCTACGTTTCATTATTATAACTTTATAAGAAAAAGTCAACCAGAAAGGAGCATCCACTTTACTATGAGATGCTTTTCACTCAACACTGACTAACATTTTAAGACAGATCAGGATCATAATAAGTGCCTATCGCCTGTCAAGAAAACCACAAGAAATCCTCCTGAAACAGATACTGAAATTCAAAGCGTCCTTTTGTGTTCTGCCACACGATTGTCTGAAGATAGGCAGTTATCTTTCTGACTCACAGGTTTCTGGCTTCAGTACAAATATGATGAATTAGTCTAATCTCATCAGGCGCCACATCTGTTGGCGCACCGCCCACCTCCGTGTCTGCAGGAGCGGCAGCACATACCGATGATAACAGCAGCATCAACATACCTGGCTCCCTGTACCAATGCGCGGAGGCGGGCACGAGCACACACCGCCACCAGAGGCCCACGGTCCCGTTGAGGCGGAACAAGGTGTCGCTGTAGGTCTTCTCGTCGAACTCCCCGGTCATGAACTCCTCGTGCAGGGAGCGCAGCTCGGACACGTTGGCCTCCCCGCGCACGCTGGGGCTGATGTACTGGTACCAGTGCTGCGTGCCCACGGCCACGGACAGGTACACGGTGGCCAGCAGGCTCAGGACGCAGGCGATGACCAGAGCCGTGGCGTAACGGTTGTCCACCATCGTTGGTGCAGAGAGACAGCCTCGCGCCGTCAAATAAAGGAGGGATTAAGTTGACGCCAGTCCGTCGCGCATCAGATTAACACGTTTTTTATAAAGCAGGTTTCCGGTCACACAAAAACATATATATAATAGATGCCGCGCAGAAGCTTAAAACAAACAATACAATCGGCAGGAACCCATCTTTTGTGCAGCACAGACGGTCAGCAGCCCTGCGGCCCGGATCGGATGCGCCATCTGCTCCTCTTCCACAGATGGTGGGCGGCCCCGGCCCGACGCTGCAGTCCGCTGCGACCCCCTCCGTCAACACAAACAGTCCCACAGCAATATATACATATATTCTGGGAATGTAAAAAAAAAAATCACAAGGATTCTTTGTATATTTCTCCCAAGGTGCACTGGAGCACAGAGTAAACAGTAATCCTAACACTTTCCATTTCCGGTTCCGGTTTATCCACAATTGATTATGAAAGCAATTTCCGGTTAGATACCGGAAGTGACAGTAATCTTGTTTAAAATGTTTTACTGTTTCGAGTTAATATATTTTCTTTACAAGACTGAAACCACAAAAACAATTCAGTCTAATCAACTTTAATTAAATATCACATTAAAAACAACTGCTGTTTGTTAAACTGCTACTCACTCAAATAGCAAAAACACAACAAGGTACACAACAAGATCATAAGAACAAAAACAACACAAGAATAAGAATATAATAAACCATAAAACAGGAAAGGTCAACTCATTCTGAATTAAAGCTTACAAAAACAAAACAAATGTGTTTTAAGATAAGATTTTAAAAACACCAAGAGTTGGAGCCTATATGATATCCAAAATGTCAAAGTAGAGTTCCTGAAAATATTCTTTGAATTATGTACATTTATAAATAACTACTAACATATTTTTTGCCCTAGTTGTTATAAAGAATGAGGTTCTTAAAATGGATAAAAGTAGCCTAACAAGTATTGTTACAGGTCTTTGCTACTGTTCTTTTGTCAGTCAAAAGCTAAAAAAAAATTGTAAACCACTGAAGAGGGCGCACAAGTCTGTAGGAGATCGGAGATAGGAGCCTCTCCATTCGGTCATAAATAAAACTTTAAAATGAACTCTAAAACAATTAAGGAACCAAAGAAGTGAAGCCAGCTCTGTGGAGAAATGTAGTAGGCCTTATAAAGTGTGCTAAATGTGTTTTGGTGGATAACAATAAGTTGGGGAAAAATCTATTATTTGCTTTGCCAGAAGATACTTTCAGGGATTTTTTAACCCCTAATTTGTACTCAGAAGTTGAAATGTAGTTCCAAGTAAAAAAAAAAAAAAAAAAAAAAATCAATTAAAAGTCAGAATTCCAGGTAGTGGACCCAGACTTGACTCGTTCTACATGCAAGTTGGAAAACTAGTAGGGTTTGCTAATGCTGCATTCCATTTGTCTGTCATCAGTCGGAAATTTTATAGATTCAAGTCGGAAAAATCAACTGGAATGCTGCACCAAAAATTTGAATCCAGACTCAGAATGTTGGAGATTCCTGACTTGGGAATTGAACTGACTTCGCAGTAGAACTGAAGGAACACGAGTTATGACTTCCAGGGCAAACGCAACGCAGCATGACCTKTTGTTAATCCAACATGGCTGCTTTGCGTGTTAAAATTAAACATAGCTTCTGTAATCAATTCTTTCTTTGCACTTGTATCGATTGGTATCTCAGTAAATCAGTCTTAGACATTGTTTTTTTTCTTTTGGTTTGAGTGTCTTTGTCATGGAAAGTAATTGACATTTGTATGTGCCAGAGCAAATGTAAAGTTTGAATGAGATACACAAACACAAGTGGCATATGACAGAGAACTCTCATGAGCTAAATAAATTAGAAGCCTTATCCTGACTCATCTGACTGGCCGAACCTGTCTCACTAAATCCAGTATTTTCAGACTACATTGTTAAATCATGAAGCAAAGTCTTCTCTCTGTTTGTTAAAGAAATCTGGAGACAGAAATTCATGCGTTCATTACATCCAGGCTGGGTAATTGTAATGCTCTGCTATATCAGCCAGTCTTCCATTGCTCTTTCACAAATGGTTCAGAATGCAGCAGCCCAATTTCTAAGTGACACAAGTAGAAGAGAACATATTACTCCTGTTCTAGCATCTCTTCACTAGCCTGGTCCTTGCCTTCCTATGCAGCTCCGCTCAATTCTAGTTTCCCTTCACTGCTCCTGGGACTTCTACCATTGAGATGGATTTCGCTGGCAGATTTTTAGCTAGGCCAATCAGAGAAGAGAACGTCAATTTTCTGCGCAGTGTCTGCTTGTAGTTTATTTTACCTGGACCAATCAGAGAACAGAAGGAGGAGTTTTGAATGATGTCGATGTTCTGCGCAGTCTGCTGGTTATTTTAGCATATGGCAGTGGAGGAAGTGAATGAAGCCAGTCTGTGTTGATAAGGCTTCCAAATTAAATTACATTAAATTTGTCTGACAAAGCAGCAGCTCTCAATTACAGTCGTCTCGTTCGGCTTGGTATATTTCTGCTCTCAGTAGGGTTGTTTACAGCACRTGCGATTTCCAGTTAGCTTCTTAGCTTAGCCTCCATCACAGCGACAACACATACATGCTTCAGCACAGGCCACGCCTTCTGCAAGAAATGATTGTCTATGCATCAAGTCCAGACCCTWSTACGAAGTAAAGTGAAGGACAGGGTCTGGTTTTAACCAGGCTATCTCTTCACAGGCTTCCGTAACATTTCAGAATTCACTTTAAAATCCCCCTGAATGTCTTTAAATGCCTAAACAACTCCGCCCACTCTTACATCTCAGATCTAGTGCATCCACTTGTCCCACCACACACACACACACACACACACACACACACACACAC